TGCACACACTTCTGCCACTTGGTCAAATTGTTTTGTTCGAGTTGCAGTCATCTCTCATAAATGAGTTCCGACAGCTTTCTGTTATCGCCAAGTTCACCAAAGGTTGAGACCTGGATTCTGTTTTATTTTTTCCATAGTCTATTATTGGGTCGAAGTGTGCAGATGAGAGAAATGAGAGAGATGAAGAAGACAAGAGAAGCTAAGAAACTTTTTTGGGAAGAAAGGAGATGACAGTAATCAAGTGTCTAATAATGTATAATCTATCTAGCCTTTGATAAGCTTGGATTCCTTCCTCTTGTCCTCTAATTGTTTATCAATAATAGATTTTAGATCCCTTGCCTATGTCACCCAAAGTGTATATTTTCGTAAGTTTACTGTGGGAGTTGTTTACTAAAGAGGCCTCTGTCTTTGATAGTGAGGGGGATTTTGAAAAGCTTGACAACTTTTTAAATGGTCCTACTCAGATAATAGTGTCTTTATTACAAAAGAATGTAGTGTTTGTAGTTTCCTTCTTTTATGCACAATGAATTACAAGAATAGACCGGTTTACTCTGCAAAACTATCTTCTTTTCTTTTCTTTTTTTGCTTCATCTAGAGAACTAGTGTTACGTGGAATCCGTTATCCTTAAGCGAATCTTACAACTTTTATAGGAGGAAGATGTTTCTAGAAATGTTTGTATGTTCCTTTCTTATTTACTTGACATCGTAGGTGCAAGAACATGCACATTCTTTCAAAGAAGGAGAGGAAGTGTGCTTATGTACCTTTATACTTCTCTAGTTACATTGACTTATTGTTGGAATTTACAGTAATGCATCTGTAGTGGATATTTGCGAAATTCAGCTAGCTTCAGGGCTAAATCCTATAATGGCTTCATTTCTAAAGATTGTAAGTGAAAGAAATAAAGTTACTACTAATTCTATTTTATTTTCCAAGGGAGCTAATAGATGGCATGTGGTATAACCATGCAAAGTAAGTCAAAATATTAAACATAAACATGGATTTCTTGAGTGCCTATATAAAAAGTCAATTTCTCATTTAAACCAAAATATAATCTAACTCACCATTTTTATCTTTATCAAAGGAAATGGCAGCACATGGAAAGATTGATCAGCATCGCACACTTGAAGAGAAAAGTACTGCATAATACCAGCACAGGTATCACTATTTCTTTGTGGAACATTAAAATCTACTCCCTCCGTTCCTTATTATAAGAGACATTTGATGCTCATGGCATGTTCCTATATATAAGAGACACTTAAAAGTTGTCTCTACTTTTTTTTGTTGATTTTCTATTTCCTATTTTACCCATATTTATTTTATCTCCAATTCACACTCTCTCTCCCTCCCACTTCTCTTTCTTTTAATAATTTAATTGTTCTCTCTCATGCTCTCTCTCCGTATTAATGAGGGCATTTTTGGAGAAGAAATTATACTTTTTACACATTGATTGTTCTTAACTAATTTTAACTGCTTTTTTTTATCATCATAATTTGGTTATTTGTCTCTTATAATAAGGAACGGAGGGAGTATATTGTTACTTCCAGAATCACTGCCATTGACATGGATTTTATCATCAGTTTCTATTTTTTCTTTAACTTTAAAAAAAACCCACGATCGGTATCATAATCCCTCTTTTTTTTCTACTCCCCCATCAACAATTGTATTTTAAATTTCATCATCAAAATCTATGTGTTGAACTTCATGAATTTCTCCTTATACATATTTATCTCACTGTCTAGTTTTCTATTCTTAGCCCTGAGCTCTTTAACAGTCATATCTTCGAGCCCATTTCCTTCACATTAACTAACAATTGCTCATACAACTCTTCACCTCTATTCTTCCTTTGATATAGTTCCTAGTATTCCTTTAACTTTTCTTTAATCTCCCTCTTTTCCAACCACTCAAGCACTAAAATCTGTCTGATTTTATTAGCCTCTCCTATAAGTTGGGCTTCTTTAGTGACCAAAATATGCTCTACTTGGTCAAATTGTTTTGTTCGAGTTGCAATTCGCCTCTCATAAAATGGCAATGGTATAATATTGCCATTGCGCAAAAGTTAGTTAACCAATTCAGATGGGACATAATGAAGTTGCTTATCGTCATAATTAGGGGTATGCATGGAGCGACTCAACGGGGTTCGCTATCAACCCAAAGTCTAGTCCAGTAAAGACCTCAGACTAAAAAAAACAGCCTAAGGTCTGGTCTAGCCCAATACGAATCCGAGGTACTGGATGGGTCCAAGCAGTCTAGGACCTAAATTTAATTTTTTTAAAAAAAAAAATTTCTTCAATAGGAGGCAATATTATAACTTACTATATCAAATTTTGCGCATATTTTAGTCTATAGTTCATCAAATTTGATCATTCCCTTTCAATTTCCTAATAATGTCATGTTTTATTAATTAACTCTCATTAATATAGATCTTATATGGTAGAAAATATATACGCATGCTCATTACTTAGAAAGTTAATAGATAAATCTTGATTATTTGAATAGACAAAAAACTTATATAGAAAAATTAAATCAAATTAAAATTATATAAATAATAATTACAAAAACTGGGCTAGACTGGACTGCACCAATTGGTCTGAGGGGCAAGTCCCTAGTCCAGTCCAGCCCTTCTAACTAAGTTTGCATCAGTTATTTCAAATGTTACTAAAATTGATATGGCAAATATATTTGTAAAAATTAATTGATTTTATAATAATACAATTTTTCATTGTAATAATATTTTTATTTCAAATTAATTTTTATTTTAATATGTTTTCTAATTTTAACAATATTTTTCTTTATTTTCTATTATAATAATTTGTTGGCATGATTATTTAGTGATTTTAGTAGTATTCTGATTGCCTTTTCATATAATTAAAAATTATCTGTATAAAAATTAGATAGTGACTAAATCTTGAAGACCAAAAAATTGAAAATACATTGATGAGTCTCAATGTAATTTGCAAAGTTGTAAATTTAATTTTGATAGATATTCAAGAATTCGATGAATCAATAATCTATTTTTTCTTTGTTTGAGAAATTTTTCATCCCCTTAATCTTTAATATTTGAAATTGTAAATATTTTTATTAGATCCCATATTTTTATAATTTTATGGTTATGGATCTATAGAAATCATATATTTTCTTATCTTGACTTTTCAATTATTTTTTATTGGCCATAATCTTGATTTTTCTTTTCCTTTTTTGGTTTTTTATATGGTAATGTTTTTGGCCAAATTTTTATATGATAATGTTTAAGGAAAAAATCTTAGTTAAATTCAATTGAAAATAAATTGAAGGCCAAAAAATTGAAAATAAATTAATGAGTCTCAATGTAATTTGTAAAATTATAAAATTAATCTTGATAGGTATTCAAGAATTCGATGAATCTATAATCTATTTTTTCCTTATTTGAAAAATGTTTCATCCTCTTAATCTTTAATATTTGAAATTGTAAATATTTTTATTAGATGCCATATTTTTATAATTTTATGGTTATGGATATCTAAAAATCATGTATTTTTTAATATTGACTTTTTAATTATTTTTTATTGGCCATAATCTTGATTTTTCTTTTTCTTTTTTTTTATATGATAATGTTTTTGACCAAATTTTTATATGATAGTGTTTAAGGAAAAAAATCTTAGTTAAATTCAATTGAAAATAAATTGAAGACCAAAAAGTTGAAAATAAATTAATGAGTCTCAATGTAATTTGCAAAATTATAAAATTAATCTTGATAGATATTCAAGAATTTGATGAATCTATAATCTATTTTTTTCTTGTTTGAAAAATGTTTCATCCTTTTAATCTTTAATATTTGAAATGGTAAATATTTTTATTAGGTCCCATATTTTTATAATTTTAAGGTTATGGATATCTAGAAATCATGCATTTTTTAATCTTGACTTTTCAATTATTTTTTATAATTTTAAGGTTATGGATATCTAGAAATCATGCATTTTTTAATCTTGACTTTTCAATTATTTTATATTGGCCACAATCTTGATTTTTCTTTTCCCTTTTTGGTTTATATAATCTTGATTTATATGATAATGTTTTTGGCCAAATTTTTATATGATAATGTTTAAGGAAAAAAATCTTAGTTAAATTCAATTGAAAATCAATTGAAGACCGAAAAATTGAAAATAAATTAATGAGTCTCAATGTAATTTGTAAAATTATAAATTTAATCTTGATAGATATTCAAGAATTTGATGAATCTATAATCTATTTTTTTCTTGTTTGAAAAATGTTTCATCCTCTTAATATTTAATATTTGAAATGGTAAATATTTTTATTAGATCCCATATTTTTATAATTTTAAGGTTACAGATATCTAGAAATCATGTATTTTTGAATCTTGACTTTTTAATTATTTTTTATTGGCCATAATCTTGATTTTTCTTTTTCCTTTTTGGTTTTTTATATGATAATGTTTTTGGCCAAATTTTTATATGATAATGGTTTTCTTTACATCCAATAGAGTTTACTCTCTCTATGTACCACTCCTTGTCTAATTGTTTATGTTTATGTTTATGTTGTGATATAAAGAAAAAAGCAATGATCAAGTGTGACTTGTAGGTGGGTGTAATATCCCAAATTTTATGGATTTGAGTAAAGCATGATGAAGGAGAAATTTTTAGAGAAATTGTTGAGATTAAGAACCTTAAAATATGGTCTGAATAATTACAAAGTTAATTTCAAGAATTTAGGACCTATTTTCTTGGAATATTCAAGAAAAATAGTTAGAGGCTAATTTTTGAGCTGAGATTTTTAGGAAAATTATTTTATGGACTAAAGAAGCTAATGGAAGAAGAAAATTCATATAAAATATCCAGGTTTGATTTTTGGAATTATCTTATTATCCTGGAAAAATAGAGAAGGATCAAATTGAAGGGAAAATAAAGATCAAAGGGTATAATGGTCATTCTACAGCGCTCACCGACCTAACATCTTCTCCCTTCTTATTTTCCCCTGCTGCACGACTGAAACAGAGAAAGAGAGAGACGGTGGACTAGGGGAAGAACGAGGAAGAAGAGGAGGTGATTGAAGGAGACAATCGGTTCATCTAAAAGTGGAAATCAAACCAGGTGAGTCTCCTGAATCTTCTTCCATCTTTGTTTTCTGTTATTTGGTCATGTGTTGCAAGACGACGATGAAATGAAATCTGGTTTTTGAGAGAGAAAGTGAAGAGCATGAGAGCTAAGCTATAAAACTCGTGCTTAATGGTGAGGATAGAGTTTGTGGTTGGAATTTTTGCACTTGCTTGTATAGTTGATTACTCTGGTTTTAGTTACCGAAACAGGGACGTTCAGTTTGTTCGGTGGTAGTTTGAGAACCTTGGAGGTGTAGATGTAATATATACACACACACACACGCGCGCGTATGTGTGTAGGTGTTGTCCGTGTCAAATCTGGAATTTTAGTGGCAATATCTCAAGCTGGAAAATTGAAGGATCATTACGGGTTGATGCTCTGCAGCTATTATTGGCATATTGAGTTATTGGATCAGGTTTAAAAGCTCTATTGTGATAGTAAGAAAATAGTTTTAAAGCTGGAGAATTTTTAGAACTAAAGTAAAGAGTGCTGTTCCAAATTGGGAGTATGTTTAGAATCTGGAAAATTTTTCCAGAATTGCTTATGACTGTGGCGTGAAAAATAGGAAGAGAAGAGAGATGATTAAACCTCAGGGTAGACATATTAAAATATTTTTGGAAGCATGGGGTGCTGTCCGAAATTGATTAAAGTGTGAAGATAGATATTGAAATCTGAAAAAGTTTACAGCTTAGCAAGGTTGTTGAGATTAATGTAGAATTTGAATACTGATTTGAGAGGACTGAATCAAGATTTTTGGACCTTAAAATGGGAAATAGAATGACGCATATGAAGCTGGAATTGTGGGAGAAATATCCGAAAAGATTAATGTATGCTAATTGTTTATAAGTTTGTGGAGTATAATTGTTATATATATATATATATATATATGCGTGTGTGTGACTTTTGGAAGTATGACCGTGGGAAGCATGAGGGAAATGGGAGAGTACTTAAATACTTATACCTATATATATATTAATCTATCCTTGCCTACATAATTTATAGGATTTGATATTTGTTCAAGTCCATTAAGAAGGGAGCCAAGGAAGAAGCAAGAGGAAGTTAGTACGGAAGAAAAAGCAAAAGGTAGTAACTCTTTTCTTTTAATGTGATTGTATATGGATTGCCACATGCTTGGATGTGCCTTTATGCTGATTATGCATGAGAACATGTAAGTTGCCTTTGCATAATAATATTTGTCATGACAATATGCGCTGGTTTCCATTTATTTTGGAATGTGGGCGCGATAGATAGCGATTAGCTATATGGGTGTATGGTGTATATGCATCATTGATTATATTTGGATGCAAGGTGTTGTTCTCTTTGGCCTGTGTAGCATGTGTTTGTGATCTTGTATGATTACGTGAGGGAAATTTGTTACTACTGAGATTCTTTAGAATCTCACCCCTTCTTCCATGTAATACAGCAAGAGCAAGTACTCCTAAGGGCAAGGGAGTAGTGATCGGTGGAGTTTAAAGGTGCAAGAAGCTGGCGATCATTTGTACATATATATTTTGCTTAAAATGCATCTTATTTAGGAGTAAAGATATATATTGTATATCTATTTTGGTATGTAAATATTCCTCCATAAGGAGATGCCTAAGGGTAGATAGATCATAATGACTGCTATTGAAGGAAATCGTCAAATTTTTTTGATATAATTATTATTTGGCCTAAAATTATGTGTATCAAATTATGTATCACGTCATGTGAGTCAATGGCCAGAATATTGAATGTTAGATCCTACTGGCTATAATTGATTTGATATGGGATCCAAAAGGTTGGATGGAAAAAGAATGGGTTCGATGGTTGAATACGAACCATGGGTCTTAGACGGTTTTTACCGTTTTTGTAAAAGGGTTAAATTGGGTACTCGAACCATTAGACCGGTTACTTTAAAAGTGAGTTTCTGAAAAGTTTTAAACTTTTCAGAAAATCCTATTCCTTGAACAGGATTAGATTTTGTGCTTAGGAACTGTAAAAAAAAAAATTTGATTTTCCCAGGATTGAAACCTGGCTTTTAATGATTCGAGGTTAAATAGAACAACTCTATTGGTGTATAAAGGATAGTCGTGACAGTGGGATTCTTGGTTAGAGATATAAATAAAATCAAGAGACAGAATCAAACATTATCTGCATATGTAATTATCCTATTACACTTGGTTTCCTCACCGTAGGTTTAGTATAAAACTATAGATGATGACATTGAAGAAATAGTTACACATGGTTAGCCTCTCCTGTAAGTTGGGCTTCTCTAGTGATTAAAATCTGCTCCACTTGGTCAAATTGTTTTGCTCGAGTTGCAATTAGTCTCTCATAAAATAGCAATGGTATAATATATTGCCATTGCACGGAAGTTAGCTAACCAAGTCAGATCGGACATAATGAGGTTGCTTATCGTTATAATTAGGGGAATGCAAGGAACAGACGGGACCGAGTTTGTTATCAACCCGAAGTCGGGTTTAGTAAAGACCTCGGGCTAAAAAAGACAGCCCGAGGTCTGATGGTCCAGTCTAGTACCAACTTGAGATCAGGTTGGACTGGACTTGGTCCTTTTGGACTGCCTGGACTGGGTTTTTGCACAGCCCTAGCTATAATGTTCATTTGCCGTGAACATATTGCCATTATGTCGAAAGCAGTTAACTAATTTAGATGGGACATAATGAGGTTACTCGTCGTTATAAGGTTCATTCACCACAATGTTGTTTCTGTTGGAGATGAAAATTATGGTATTGCATGTTAACTGGCTAGTAACATATTTAAGAAAAGAATGTCCAAGTGTCTGTAATATTGTTCGTCTGCCAGATTTTTTTCATTCACAGATATGTGACCAATTGTTAAGAAATATTTAAGAAAAGAATGTCCAAGTGTCTCAAGTATTATTCGTCCACCAAATTTTCTTCGTCCACACACATCTGACTAATTGTTAGGTAGAGTAAATGAATGAGGCGTGAAGGATTTCTATGACTTGTTAGAGCACACCTCACAGAAAGACCCTGATTTTAAAAGGAAAGTGGTTGTTATTCAAGATTTACATGATCTAACAAGCCAGGTACTTCATTACTGGAAATTTAAGATTTGTGAGTGCATCATTAGAAATTAATAAAAAAGTTAAATCAAATTAAAATTATATGAATAATAATTTAAAAAAAACCGAGCTAGACTAGACTGGACCAACTGGTTTGAGCGGCCGGTCCCCAGTCCAGTTCGGCCCAATGAGACTAGTCTGGTCTAGTCTGGTCTAGTCTTGTTTCAGGTCAATTTTTTCTGGACCGAACTGGATCGTGATTGCTCGGGTCGGACCAGACCATACCAGATCACTGGGTTTTTGCACTGCCCTAGTTACAATGTTCATTCGCCACAAACATATTGCAATTGTGTGGAAAGCAGTTAACCAATTCAGATGGGACATAATGAGGTTGCTCGTAGAGCCAGGAAAACACGCCGAGCCTGTCGGGCCGGCTTGTTTAGGCCTTGAAATTATGAGGGTCGGGCTTGAAATTTTTCCCCTCAAATGGGAAATAGGCACTAGAGGGCCCCCAAGGCCGGCCCTTTTATAATTTTTTTTGTTTTTTAAATTTTTTTATGTAATTCTAATATTATTAATTTTTAACATTGTTAATAATATTTCAAGTATTTAGTTATTATTATCATTTTAAAATTAAATTTTACAAAATGATTTGATTTATTTAGTTTTAGACAATAATTTATCCAATTAGATTTTTAAAAAATGGTTTAATTTCGACTTTGATAATGATTTGATTTATATTATATGTGTTGATATTTTGAAACTATATATATATATATATGATAATAAAGTATTTTTATACTTATATAACTTGTGATTCTATAATTTGAAGATTGTAACTCAAAGAAATAAAGTTACTGCTAATTCTATTTCATTTTCCAAGGGAGCTAATAGATGGCATGTGGTATAACCATGCAAAGTAAGCCAAAATATTAAACATAAACGTGGATTTCTTGAGTGCCTATATAAAAAGTTGATTTCTCATTTAAATCAAAATATAATCTAACTCACCATTTTTATCTTTATCAAGAGAAATGGTAGCACATGGAAAGGTCGATCAGCATCGCACGCTTGAAGAGAAAAGTACTGCATAATGCCCGCACAGGTATCACTATTTCTTTGTGGAACATTAGAATCTATATTGTTATTTTCAGAATCACTGCCATTAACATGGATTTTATCATCAGTTTCTATTTTCTCTTTAACTTTCAAAAAAACCCACGATCGGTATCATAATCCCTCTTGTTTTTCTACTCCCCCATCAACAATTATATTTTAAATTTCATCATCAAAATCTATGTGTTGAACTTCATGAATTTCTCCTTATGCATATTCAGCTCACAATCTAGATAAAACTTTGGGATGTTGTTATCTTGTTAATGAATGTTTTAGATGTTCTTGGATGTTAATGGATATTTATATATGATAATATTTTGTATTTGTGACTTAATTTTATTAATATTTATATCTTTTATTAATAATTTCATTGGTTTATTTTCATTTTTTTCATAAAAAAAATAAAAGATAGCATTTTTTCTTAAACGGGCCAAAAGCCCATAAGTCGGCCCTCACTCGTTAGCTTAAGGATTGAGCCTAACAAATTGGGGCATTTTTGAAATTTTTTTCAAATTAAGTAGGCCTTCATGTGACTTAATTTTATTAATATATATATCTTTTATTAATAATGTCATTGGTTTATTTTCGTTTTTTTGATAAAAAAAATATAAAAGATAGCATTTTTTTCTTAAATGGGCCAAAAGCCCGTGGGCCGGTTCTAACCTATTAGCTTAAGGACTGGGCCTAGCAAATTGGGGCATTTTTGAAATTTTGACTCCAGAGGGCTAGCCTTTTTAAGCCCATCAGCCCTGAAGGGCCAGCCTTAGAGGGCCGCGCTGGTCCTGATTCCCACCTCTTTATCTGACTAATTGTTAGGTAGAGTAAATGAATGAGACGTGAAGGATTTCTGTGACTTGTTAGAGCACACCTCACAGAAAGACCCTGATTTTAAAAGGAAAGTGGCTGTTATTCAAGATTTACATGATCTAACAAGCGAGGTACTTCATTACTGGAAATTTAAGATTTGTGAAGGTATCATTAGAAATTATCTTGTTCTTCTTCAAACTGAGTAGGCCTTCGTGATAAGTTGGATAGATTTGATTAAAATATTGTAGAAAATAATGTCAAGTGTCTCTAATATTGTTTGTCCACCAAATTTTTTTTCATTCATTGACATGTGACCAATTATTAGGTAGAGTATATGTTTGAGGCGTGAAGGATTTCTATGGCTTGGTCAAGCACATTTGTTTAGAATATTACATATGGAGTATTATTACATCGAGCACACAGACATTGCCGCATTCAACATATACGGAAAGTAAAATAATAGCTAGACTGCAAAATTTAAAAATAAAATTCCTATAAAGAAGAAAAACTTGATAGTTTTGTTGCGAAAGAAAAGTATACTTATGAATAAGAGTATTTAATTATAATGTTGATAAAGTTTCAAACGATTAATGATAATGTTTGTTTGTTGCACATTTACACCAGAACGAGCCTGATAAGGTTTGGGACTATGCTTAGAAATGGCAAGGCCCCTAGAGAATTAGAACCTTCTTATGGCTCACTATGAACGGGAAACTACTTACCAATAGAAAAAGAGTTACAAGCAATGTTTGAAAAGCCGGACTGGATATTAAGTCAGAAAGATTAGCAGGTCACGGTTCTTTTAGTGCAATCGATTAGATCGTCAGTCAAACTGTTAATATAAAAAATAATTTAAAAATAATATTATATACATATATACTCATATATAAATAAAAAAAACACCATATCAAGGTATAAAAAATGCCCATCAAATTACCAATATATTAAGTAATACATTAATCTTTTAACACTTTAGATTAACAAAAGAATAAAATTAAACACATGGAAAGTTAATTTTAAATATAGAACATCTAATTATAAATTATTGTGTAAGCATTTATCAAGAAAATATTTATAGAATATTCAGAACCTAATTATAGAATAATAATCTTTTCGCGAATGTGCGGGCAATAAGCCACAGTTTGATCAACGAGGCCATTGCTCTTGTCCGCCACATTACGGTTGTCAATGAAACTCTCAAGAGACTACACATAGGCCGACTCTCTTTTTCTCTTTTGTTTTGTGCTTTGTTGGTTTTTTCCTGGTTTTGTCTCTTTGCATATCTTTTTAATTAATGAAACCCTTTACTCAAAAAAAAAAAATCTGTTCGCTGCATTAAATCTTTCATTGTTGCACACATTAACAGAAAACTATCCACTTAATACATAAATTGAAGATAAAAACATCATGACTTCATTGATATTTATAATAAAAGTGGCCAGCATTCTTCATCATCGCAGCGTGCATAACAGCTCAGTCATAAAATACACAGAAGCTATGCAAACTCCATCCCTCATAGCTACTTACATTTTAATTTTGAACAACTATGACCAACCCCAGCAAAACATGAGTGATGATCTTGTAATCTAAGAACTCTTAAGAAACAAAAGCTAGACCACTAACTACCCTACTACACTTCCAACCCCTGCTCATACCGTCTCGGCATTCTCCAGTAATTTCCTTCTCAGATGGCTGGTCTCCTCAAAAGTTGGGTTCCAGAACACCCTCGTTGCACTTGTGTAGTTAGTCATCGATGCTATTCCTGAAAGCAAACAAATATCCAAAATTAAACATGCCCACGTACGAATCTTCGCATTACAACTCCATCAACATAGCCTTTACCTTCCGCTCTCTTCACAAAAGCATATTGCAGAATACACATAAGCTTGTTCATTCCTTTCACTGCTTGAAAATCTTTCCATGCCTCCCTTGCGGGATCACCATAAAGCTCACAATTAATTTTATCCTTCCTACAAATAAGTCCCCACAGAATTTATTACTAAATGTTTGTATAAGCCTTCATTTTTTGCATAATAAGCACAACTTACTCAATATCCTGCACCACAAACTGCAAAAAATAAGTGAACGCCCCCCTATGCTTAGTTATTCTCAACTCCTCCACTTTAATCAAGACACCACAAATGTCTACAGCACATTTCACACCAAAAAAACCCATGTTCAATAAACACCAAACAAAATATTTTAAACAGACATTACATTACACATCCGAACTCAAGAAACCAACCTCTAACACGGTATTCATGGTAAAAATCAAAATGAATATTGTCAACAGACAAGAACTTGAAGCAATGGCCAGGTAACAACTGTATACGCCGCTCCACAACAGTGTTACACCTCAGAATAATGTGATAATTACTGTGGATTCCCTCTCCCCCAAGTCGAACCTCAAAAAACTGGATTAAATATACCTTTTCCTCCTTTAAAACATTACCAAATTGTTCAATCATGTCGTCGCCATCGAGACGTAGCAGCATTCTAGTACCTTGAAGCAATCACAATAAAACAACCATTAAACCTTCACGAAATATCAGAAGAACAATTTCTGAATATTACATGAAGAACAGAACAAATAAAAAAAACACTAATACAATGCGAGAAAAGACTTTGTCATAAGCCATCTTACGTCCTCATCAAACACAATCATATCTACCGAAAGCAGCGCCTTGGGATAACCACAGTCACGGTCATACACATCAAAATCAGTCCTCTAAAAGACTTTGTCAACCCTCACGATGACTCTCCAAGAATCCACCGGAGGTGCCACCACATTGAGCCTCTCGTACTCTTCCACCATCTTTAGCACCAATCTGACTCAAAACGCCCCTGCCTGATCAAGAGAAATAATAGACAAAACAGAGCATGAGGCATTAAATAAACGAAGAAGCAGGAAATAAATGGATCTGCATGAGAACTAAAAAAATTTCTGCAATAAAGACATAATTAAGAAGAACTCTTTCAAATAACAATGAATTTTGAAGGAAAGCAAGTACCGCAGTGAAGCGCCCCCGTTATGCAGACTGAACAATGCAGGACCAAAGTAACTGAATGGGCACTACACGACCCACAATTTATAGAGGATTGAAACAACTGCATGAGCATGCCACAAGTAACTGGCACGAATACGTTATGCATGACTTTTCACGAACCAACATGCACGCAGCCACATGAGAACAGCCGGGACTGTTCACTAGGCAGAGACTGTTCATAGCACCGTGTTTTGAGTGAGGGGCCATTAAGGAGGGGTAAACGGTTAGGCTGGTCATTTATTTATTTATTGCTGTAAACTAAAAAGTAATAATTTAAATTTAAAAAACAAATGCAGAAGTTATTGAGCTTTGCAGGAAGAGAAATATTGATTAAAGCAGTGGCTAATGCCATTCTAATTTATTCAATGTTCTGCTTCTCTCCAAAAGCTACACTAAAAGTTCTCGAGAGACCTATCGCGAAATATAGTTCTCTAGAAGCATCTCGAGAAATACCTTAGAAAGGCATCCTAAAAAATCAATAATTTTTCTTGATCGGGCTTTTTTTTTTTGGGGAATAAGTACTGTAATTAGATGGTAATGTTGTGTAACCATTGAGATGGCCGTCCTAGCTAAGTAATTGGCAAAAATTGAGATTCAAGGAGAGGGCCAATTCTCAAATACGTATTCGAGAATTGCTCTTCTTGAATAAATGTTCGAGAAGATATAAACAACAGATGATTCCATTATTGATTAGACAAGAGTAAAATTAATCCTCTTCAAAGCTACACTAATAATTCTCGAGACACCTACCACGAAATATAGTTCTCGAGAAATACCTTAGAAAGGCATAGAATGTCAAGGCATCCTCGAAAATCAGTTTCAACAGTTGCTAACCTATAGCAACTGCTTGATCAAGAAATATAATATATTTTTCTTGATCAGGCTTTTTTTTTTGGGGTGGGAATAAGTACTGTAATTAAATGGTAATGTTGTGTAACCATTGAGATGGCCGTCCTAGCTAAGTAATCGGCAAAAATTGAGATTCAATGAGAGGGCCAATTCTCAAATATGTATTCGAGAATTACTCTTCTTGAATAAATGTTCGAGAAGATATATAAACAGCAGATGATTCCATTATTGATTAGACAAGAGTAAAATTAATCCTCTTCAAAGCTACACTAATAATTCTCGAGACACCTACCGCGAAATATAGTTCTCGAGAAACATCTCGAGAAATACCTTAGAAAGGCATAGAATGTCAAGGCATACTCGAAAATCAATTTCAACAGTTGCTAACCTATAGCAACTGCCTTGATCAGGCTTTTTTTTTTGGGGGGAATAAGTACTGTAATTAGATGGTAATGTTGTGTAACCATTGAGATGGCCGTCCTAGCTAAGTAATCGGCAAAAATTGAGATTCAAGGAGAGGGCGAATTCTCAAATATGTATTCGAGAATTGCTCTTCTTGAATAAATGTTCGAGAAGATATATAAACAGCAGATGATTCCATCATTGATTAGACAAGAGTAAAATTAAAAAGGGAAAAAAAAAGTAACCTAGCTTCCCAATTAAATCACCCAGATATTCCCTGTAATTATATGTAATCACAATAAAAAACGAATAAAGGGGAATGAAGTAAGCTAGATTTTTTTTTTTGGGGAATAAGTACTGTAATTAGATGGTAATGTTGTGTGACCATTGAGATGGCTGTCCTAGCTAAGTAATCGACAAAAATTGAGATTCAAGGAGAGGGCCAATTCTCAAATACGTATTCGAGAATTGCTCTTCTTGAATAAATGTTTGAGAAGATATATAAACAGTAGATGATTCCATCATTGGTTAGACAAGAGTAAAATTAAAAAGGGAAAAAAAAGTAACTTGGCGTCCCAATTAAATCACCAAGATATTCCCTGTAATTATATGTAATCACAATGAAAAACAAATAAAGGGGAATAAAGTAAGCTAGATCAGAAGACCAACTTAAAAAAAACAACAACAACAACAAAGAATAATAAATTTAATGAACCAACCTCTTTTTCCGCCTCAAAAAACTCTCCTTCTCCCTTCTTCTTCTTCTCAGTCTTCTTGGCAAAGTACTTGTCATCAAATTTCTCGACACTAACTCCAGAGATATCAACCTTTGTGGAGGTGCGGATCACATATGATTACGGCTAACACATCTCAAAGGAACTCCATTAATCTTAAATGGACCTGAAGTAGCAAGGGCAAAAGATTAAAAACAGGCCATGGCTAGTAGCTAGTCAGAAGAATATAAATGAGAGTAACCAACCTAGAGAGTGCGAAATCGCAAGGATAGCCACAAAGAAACTACCAATAACAAAACCATAGAGAAGCTCAATTGAACTCAACTCCCTCATAATACATTCCAATATAAACATCAACACACAATGGTCAGTAATATAAGTTCTAAACAGAACAACAGAAAGAGAAAACATTTTAAAAACTCAAAAGAAATTTCACAAGAATAGTGTAAAATATAAACCAAGCTCACGAAAAGGTCATAGAAAATGAAGCAATGGCCACTACAAAAGCTCATCATTCAACGACTCTTCTCACAGATGGCATCAGATCATTTACCAGTAACAAGGAGCAACCCAGAAGGAAGCTGTTTCAGAAAAACTACTCTCTTTCCCTTGAATCTCCAGCAAGAAGAATCAGCACAATACCGAGAGTAATGCTAGCCCTACAGAGTAAAAGCAAAAGCAGACAAATATTATCATCATCAGTAAACCTATATGTCGAAAAAGCCAATACAATGCAGAAATTTGTACTTGTTAATTAAGAGATTGAGGCATATAAAATTGTTTTTGACTCTAAAAAAAGAAGTGACAGAGAAGAGGACATTTCATCATTTATCAGCCACAGTTCACTACACACCTCGTCCAAAACCTGCTATACTCCATATGCCAACATACGAGAACCCTCACATTCAAAATTACCTGCTCAGGCATCTGATAGGATTTTATCTTTGTTTTCACTACCACCTATTTCCCCTGGGTGCATAGGGATAAGAGCATGGGTCTAAGAAGAAGTAGAAGGTGGTATGTGAGATGGCGGTGGCAAAACCTGAGAAATAGCTGGTAGTGAAATTGAAGTTAGAGCAGAGGAAGATGAAGGCTCTGAGATGGGAGTAGAAGTAGGGGGTTCTAAGGCAGGAGCAGAGGGCTCTGTAGTAGGTGGCTTTGAAGATGGGTGAGAGAGGAGCTCATCAAAAGTAAAGGAAGGTCCTAGGTGCATAGGGATAGGAGCAAGGGTCTGAGAAGAAATAGAAGGTGGTATGTGAGATGGTGGTGGCAGAACCTGAGAAATAGGTGGTAGTGAAACTGAAGTTAGAGCAGAGGAAGATGAAGGCTCTGAGATGGGAGTAGAAGTAGGGGGTTCTGAGGCAGGAGCAGAGGGCTCTGTAGTAGGTGGCTTTGAAGATAGGTGAGAGAGGAGCTCATCAAAAGTGAAGGAAGGTCCTGAAGCAGAGAGGTAAGTAGTCATCAGTGTTTTGAGGTCTAACATGTGTCTCTCCAATGCATCAAACCTTTCCCTCATGTTCCTCTCCAAAACAACCATAGCTTGTCTATGGAGAGTAAGGATGTTGTCGATGGTTCCAAGCTTTTGGTCTATTAGTTCCCCATACTCCTTGGCCGTGCCATACAATCTTGTCTCAAATGCTTGTAATTCTGACCGGAAGGCATTCTGAATTGTTGCACCAAGGAAGGATGAAGCTGTGGATTACACTAGCCCAGCTGAAGATTGTGCCTCATCTTGTGGCTGAGAGTCAGTTGGAAGAGGTTGCTTTCTTTTCCCTTTGTCTCTTGGCAAAGTTCTCTGTGCAGCAGTGAAAGGGAGATGGATGTGCATCCTATTCAGATGGCCTATACCAAACATGGGAATCTTTTCTTGCTTGTCTCCGGGCTCAAGATGTTGGATGCCATACTTGCTGAGAAAGTAGGAGACGAGCTGGGGATATGGGATAGGAGTTGATGGTGATTTCCCGAGGCAAAAATTTCTCATTTCACTATAAATCAATGCTCCTATGTTGATTTTGTCTCCTCTCACTATTCTAGCCAACAATATGTAGTCTTCTTGATTCAAGTGAGTGAAGCCTCGACCCTTATTTACCATGCATCTGGAGTAGATGTAGTGAATAACCCTGAAGTAATCACACATCTGACTCGGACTGAAACACAATTGGCCAGGATACGTGTTGCTCTGCTTCAGAATTTTGTAAGCATCGGTCGGAGTCATTTCTTTCTTAGGGTCATGTTTAAGTGTTCCCAATAAAAGGTTAATGATATCAGGATCCAACTTAATGTCCTTTTTTCTCAGCTTAGAAGTCAGATAGCTTTTCACAATATTTCCATTTGAGTCAGTTGTCTCATTAATCTCCATATTACAGTAGAAATGCCTCACAACTTCAGGACTATAAGACATATTGATACTCAACCACTGCGCATAATGTTTTATTGGATCGGTGAGGTCCAACTTAGTTTTCTCATTGTTCTTCAAGTCTGTTAGGTCCAAAAAAACTACTGGGCAAAATTCTCTATGAGCAAATTCAACCTTATACTTTCCTGCATCAGTCCCCTCATCTAAGTTTCCTTCTAGCAATTGTCCACCGAGAATTCTAGAAGCTGTTGAGGTACTAGAAGGATTATCTTGAGGAGCAGGAGGAGATTGAAAGGTTTCTTGATTCTTCTTTTGCCTCTTTTCTCTAGCTTGACCACCCCTTTGAATGTCCTTGTTCGTGGGGGTCTCTGATCCTTCAGGGACTGTAGGAAGTTTCGAAGTTTCCTAGGAAGTAGTAGAGGCTTTACTTTTCCTTGGAAGTGGTAGAGGTTTCTTCTTTGGCTCACTGCTTTTTTCTTGGACCTTTGGCCTAAATCTCTTTTTTTGGATGGGATTGGATTGTCGTGGATGAGTCTGAGAGCTATCCCCATCTCCACTCTTGCCTGGGTTCTTAGTTCTCGCCATTTGCGCTAACCAGAGAGTGCGACTTAGGGCTTACGAATGTGATGAGTTCAAATGTGCTTGTAAAAGGTCGGATCAAGGGGGGAAGGTGGTTTTGATCGAATTCAAGAAAGTTTCTGAGGTGAAACTGAGAGAAGATGAACAGCTTGGGGACTCGAGAATGTTAGGGAGAAAGCAGATGATGGCGCTTGGGACGAAACTGTGAACCCAGATATCTATACGGAGTTGAGGGCGGGAGAATTGGGTTTTACCCAAGCGCCTGCAGTGACGGACAGAGACTTATCAATTTTATTAGTGTAATTAATTAAATAAAAAATAAACATTAATAAAAAAAATCATTAATTCTTTCGGTGTAAGATGTTATTATAATTATTATGTAAATATATTTTTAATCTAATTTTGGAATTATTGTAAGTGCATGTCTAATTTAAATTATTGTAGAAATATAATTTCATTTTTATACCACTAAAATTGTTTTTAGATAAATATATAAATAGAATTCTCAGAGAAAAAAACGTATGCGGTAAGAGTCAATCTCTATTAAACATTAATTAAAGTTAAAGAGAAAGTAAAAATAATAACTAAAAATATAACAAATTATTATGATATATGCCACTAGAATTTTTTTTTAATTTTTGTGTACGTGTTATATACACACACTCATCCCATTTAAGGATTTTTCACGTTTAGGCAATGATATAGCGCACGCGGTAAGGTCAACTTCAATTCCAAGCAAAAATCTTATAGATTGGGAAAATACAACTTTCATTCCTCAAATTTAGCCCCATTTGGGTTTTGGTCCTTGAAATTTCAGACCCGAAGTATTGGTCCCTGAAATTTACCCCGTTACAAACCATTAGTCCTTGGGAGCCAAACGCCATCACATTTTGTTGAGTTGGCACAAACGGTGTCAACTATGTCCATTTGGCATCTGACTTGTCCATATGACATGAGGAGCTAGACATCTGACTAGGAAAATTAAAAAAAAAACAAAGAAGAAAGCATCTGTTCAAAACGCACTCACACAACACTCACGGGAGAGGGAAACGACGATGCACACTGCCTAGAAGGGACAAACTAGAAAGGCGCTAGGTCAAGACAGACCCACACCTGTCAGCAAAGAGTGATGTGGCTGTTGCCGGAATAGCAGCATTTCCGACAACCGTGGTGAGAGTGGGAGACTGGGTCTGGGATTTGGGAGACCGGAGACGGGGAGAAATGATTCAGAATTTCAGTTTGGAGCCGGAGAGTGAGACTGCGAGAGTGTGAGACAGGGTTAGTTGTGCGAGAGCGAGAGGGCAGAGGCGTTGAATTGAAAGTTGAAACCCTGAAATTGAAAGAGAGAGTGCCAAAGCGGGACGGCAATCTATGATATGGGAGTGTCACTCAAGTGTGTACGTTTTTTTTAATTAAAAAAAATTTGACGGGCTTAAATGGGCCAGCCCGTGGCCCTGCAATTATAATTATTTTTATGTAAATATATTTTTAATCTAATTTTGGAATTATTGTAAGTGCATGTCTAATTTAAATTATTGTAGAAATATAATTTCATTTTTATACCACTAAAATTGTTTTTAGATAAATATATAAATAGAATTCTCAGAGAAAAAAACGTATACGGTAATTTTTTTTAGCCTCATTCATGTACATAGATACATATTACTAAATGTTTATATTATAGTAGTGATAAAATATCAGTATTATTTCCAATTTTAGTTATCCTATGAGTTATTAATGTATTATATTAAAGGCTCTGATGTTCGTAAGACTTAATAAGTAGTTGGGGGTTTCGATTTCTATACATCGTTGTGTATGGAATAACTTTAAATGATCTACATTTTACTCTTAGTATTTTGAGAAAAATTTAGTCTCCATTACTTGTGCGCGCGTGTGTGAATTAATAGAAGTTGTATTGTTTATGGAGTTGCAAACAACGTTATTTTTACATACTTCAGTGGTGTGCAATGCACAGACCCATAATTGGTAGAGGTGAGCATTCAGTTCAGTTTTTGATGATAATTAAATTAAACGAATAACAGAATAAAATCAATTTTAAACACCCAATTGAAACCAATTAATCAAACTAATCAAAATCAAATTAACGGAAATATTTAGGTTTGGTTAACCGATTAACCGAACTAATCAAAACCAAATTAACTGAAATATTTAGGTTTGGTTAACCGATTAACCGAAATATATAAATATGAAAAGTGATTTTAAATTAAAAAATAATAAAATGCAATTATAACCATTAATTAATGAATATTTCATTAGTCAATGTAATTTATTACAATAACATTTGTTATAACCAAATTTATTGAATATAAATATATTTAAAGAGCTCACATATACCCACATATATATTTATTATAATAATATCTATTAAATATAAATCTATAATATATCTACTTCGGTTTTTCCATTATAACCAAATTATTTTCTTAATAACCAAACCAAATACTGAAAACCGAATTGTTCAAAAATAAAAGCTAAATATGTAACCAATAACCAAACTGAAAAACCGAAATTGAATTTAATTCGATTCGGTTTTTAGTTACAATTTAGTTTTGCTCACCCCTAATAATTGGATTTTTTTTTCAATAACCAAACCAAATACTATTTCTAGAGATGTAAATTTAAATAATGCGACATTTATATATAAAAGCTATATGCAACGCT